GTGCCTTTCACAATACCTTTATCCTAAAAGAAATTAAAACTGCTGCTGTAAATGCTTAAAACATGTTAGCTGGAGTCTAGCTTTAATTTGTTAGTCACTTATATAAAATCCATCTATATCTGCTAGTGCATATCTAACACTAGCCTCTCCCCATATTGACAATGCTGCTGTCCACGTGTCTCTGTTGCTGCTCCAGTGAAGTGGAGACACCCTAAGGCTAGGGTCACATCTATGCAGTTTGCCTGTAATGCATTTCTACAGTGCATTTTACGCTGCGTTTTGTGTTTTTGCACTTGCGCTTTTGACACATTTTTGCCATGTTTTTGATGCGGTTTGCGTTTTTCATCTTTTTTTTTTTTTTTTTTCTTGTTGCTAGGCAGATTTTAAATGCAAAATGCATCAAAAACACAGAAAAAAATGCAGCAAAAATGTAATACATGCTTTTCTGCAGTATTCCCATTGAAGTTTACAGAACCAAAAACACAACGTTTTGCATAAAAAAAAGTCCCTGACCCTTTCCAAAAAACACACCAGGTGAAAACGCGGAGACATGAACCTGTCTCATAGGAAGTCATGTGGAATGGATTGTACTGCGTTTCTGCAAAACACAAAATGAGGCAGAAAACGCTTAGGTGTGAACCTAGGGTAAGACAGGAAGTGTGCTACTGGCCAGATCACCCAGTGAAAATAAAGAAAAATGCCTAAAAAAAAACAAATACAGCCACCACATTTAGGAATGTGGAAGCTGCAATATGTTTTTGTTTTGGGGTTTAATAGTGCTTAGTGCCCGCAATCTGCAAATCTCCCCAGTCTGAGCTGAATACTGGTACAGGCCCACATGGAAGAAAAATATATTTGAAATATATTTTAAAAATATTCTTCCCAAATATATTGCCATATATTTGAAATGCTACAATTTTGGCCATATTCAATATATTATACTGCATGTTGAAATGCGTTTTTATTACAAGATATATGAAAAATATATTTTTAAAAATAAATTTCAAATATACTGTATGTCTTTAAAAATACAAATCTACATTTTTTTTAATGCATTTACAAATATAATAAAAAATATATGTTAAAATAACTTTTTTATATTTAAAAACAAATCTGAAGAATATATTTTAAAAAATCAATTTTTAAAAATATATTTTTTAAAATATATTCTTCGGATTTTTTTTTAATATATAAAAAAGTCATTTTAACATATATTTTTACATATATTTGTAAATGCATTCCAAAAATGTGGATTTGTATTTTTAAAGACATACAGTATATTTGAAATGTATTTTTAAAAATATTTTTCATATATTGTGTAATAAAAATGCATTTCAACATGCAGTATATATATATATATTTACTGAAATATATTTTGAAATATATTGACTATGGCCAAAATTTTAGCATTCAAATATATGGCAATATATTTGGGAAGAATATTTTTAAAATATAGTTCAAATATATTTGTCTTCCATATGGGGGTAAACTGATTCCATCATTGCTAATTCATCATGGAAAATAAATCTAAAATGTGCTTTAACATCTGTTCGCTGACTATCTTCTTCCCGTTTGATGCAAGAGGGCATAATGAAAAGGGAATAAGCAATGTCTATGCTGCATGCAAAATATTTTATCCCCCACAGTTATACCTTTTGTACCACCAGCCCCTCCCTCTTAGATTGTAAGCTCCAAGGAGCAGGGCCCTGTCTATCCCTCTTGCATTGAACTGTACTGTATTGTCTCCCGTTTATATTGTAAAGTGCTGAGCAAACTGTTGGCGCTATATAAATTACCTTTTGTACTCAAGGAGCAGCCCCTCCCCCTCTTAGATGTATTGTTGCTGTATTGTCTCCCGTTATATTGTAAGCTCAAAGGAGCAGGGCCCTCAGGCCCTAACCCTCTTGTATTGAACTGTATTGTTGCTGTATTGTCTCCCGTTATATTGTAAAGCGCTGAGCAAACTGTTGGCGCTATATAAATCCTGTATAATAATACTCCTAGATTGTAAGCTCCAAGGAGCAGGGCCCTCCTAACCCTCTTGTATTGAACTGTATTGTTGCTGTATTGTCTCCCTTTATATTGTAAAGTGCTGAGCAAACTGTTGGCGCTATATAAATCCTGTATAATAATACTCTTAGATTGTAAGCTCCAAGGAGCAGGGTAAAGTGCTGAGCAAACTGTTGGCCCTGTATAATAATACTCTTAGATTGTAAGCTCCTATCCCTCTTGTATTGAACTGTATTGTTGCTGTATTGTCTCCCTTTATATTGTAAAGTGCTGAGCAAACTGTTGGCGCTATATAAATCCTGTATAATAATACTCTTAGATTGTAAGCTCCAAGGAGCAGGGCCCTCCTATCCCTCTTGTATTGAACTGTATTGTTGCTGTATTGTCTCCCTTTATATTGTAAAGTGCTGAGCAAACTGTTGGCGCTATATAAATCCTGTATAATAATAAAACTAATAATATATCTAATTATATCTTTGATATATTATGTTATCAGTTCACATAGCAAATCAACTTTTGTTAATTAGTTTTTTCTTATCTTTCTAACATATACCATACACTTTTTTACTATCAGCCTACACAAGATTTAATATTTCTTTTGGCATTACTTTAGTATAATACCTTATTTTGATTTTTATTTTTTTTTTTCCACCCAATTATGCTGCAACAACTTTTTTTTTTTCTGAGACTGAGCTTTTCATCCTGTCATAAGACCCCATTGCTGTGAGTAGTTGTGTGACCAGCTCTTAGCAGACATGTACTTTTTGCTCAAGTATGCCATATTATGCATTTTATCCTCTACACATGCTTCTGTACAACCCCTTGGCTCAAAAGTATTTTCTGTAAATCTAGTGACTGCACCTAACTAAGGAGGGGGTTGGGGGCTCTGTGGTTAGTTGGGGTCTTTCCCTTGTGATCTCAACATAAATAAGTTCTGGAACACATTCCAGGTTTCTTGGTTCTTGGTTCATGTTGGCAGATCCATTGCTGCCTCTCTTCTTAAGTACCCCCCTGAGAGATAGTTGTGGTTTTCCCTTTCTCTCTATTCCTGTGCACGCTCAAATGCAGAAAACCTGAGGCAATCAAGAGCGATGATGACTTAAGCCCTTCATGTATAAATTGTCGCTCTCCAGTATGTTTAACCCTGACCAAACTTGTTTCTCCGAATAGATTTAGATTTGACAAGCATTTACCCTTTTAGTATTTCTTTATGATGGCAACCGTGAAAAGCATATCTGCTGGCAAATATGTATTCTCAAATAGACCTATGCCCTTGTGTTGTAAAATCATGTTGTCATTTTAGATTTATTGCAGTGATTACCTGTTTTTCATTTTAAATAGCAGCACTAATATATTTACAGAATACACTATAAGTGAATGGTATCTCATTATGAAAAACTGTACATTTGTATAATATCTATTCGAATATAACATTACATTATCTACAGTAAGCTGAAAATTATGTATTATGCACACTTTGTTGAAAATTGTTTTTCAGGCATATAACTGGATACACCACATCTCCACAAACTGATGTACTCATTTACATATATATATATATTTATATTTATATATAAACCACCTCCTTACTAAAATAAGGTAACTATTTATTTTTTGTGTTGTTGAATTCATTTAGAATTTACTTTACTTCTTTTTCAACTGCAGAACTTTTAGAATGTCACAAAAAAGCAATCAAGCAGGAAAAATATATTATTTTTATTTATAACAATGTCAATAACGCAACAGTTTACAAACATAGCACAGTGTGTATTTGGAGAGGGCAGGAACCCAAACGTCCAATGCTTTAGTAGGTTACAATAGCATCAAGACTATTGCTTAAAAGAAAACATCTTACTTGCATTGCAGCCTTACTAAGCGCATTGTTATTGTTTGTTTAACTTTTTAGTGTTCACTCTTTACATATTCTTGTGCACTTAGTCTGTGACTGCTAATGTACTTTCAAACACTGGAATCCAACTTCAGCATGTTCTTGTGAAGAACCAGACAATTCTCTACAAATATCTATTAGTGCTACCCCAAAAGAGTGCTCTCAAGTATGATCAAAAATATTATCTTTATAATGTAGGAAGCGTAACTTGATTGTTGCCATAGGCATGTACAGGGGATGTGTCGGGTGTACCTAGGCACACCCTAGTCACCCCCTTCCCATTGGCATTATCACTCTTACCAGCAGGGAGATGGGAAAGATCTCCCACTGACCTGCTCTTTGTGTATATATATATATATATATACATTTACACACACACGTGTGTTTGAGCTTTGGGGTGCACGCCCTAATGCCATAGGCTGCGCACACCCATGATTGTTGCTGTGCTTGGATAATTGAGAGCATGTTTTTTCTGTTTCTTTGCTGTACCTTTTATTGACCTGGTTTATATACAAGCTTACTTTTTAGTTATTTTAATGTATGTACGATAGTTTTGATATGGTGACCCAAAAAATGAAAGAACAGAAGAACACAGGGAAATTGTAGCTCTGATGGAATCTCTGCTCCTCTCCAATGCACTCTTGCTGTGTTCCCCCCTTTTTATGACATATTTTAAAACTATTCTCCCAGCCTCCTACGTCACACAGTGTAACACACTGCAAACACCCAACGGTTTGGCAGAGGCATGTCAGTGAACTCATGAAGTGCTGCTTTCACATATAAGCACTGATAGTCTTAATAAAGCCCGTTGTGTGAAGTACAAAACCTCTTGTTAGGCCACTTTAGACTGTTCATCTTGCATTTCTCAACTTGTTTTTTTTTTTGCCTGCTTTCATTCCTCTTCACCTCATTTGTGATCCTGGTGCCAGAAGGAATAGGAATAAAGTGAAAGATTGGATGAAAGTTTGAGGTGTTTAAGAAGCAATGATCCAGTATACAAGTCTGTGTCTATTTTCAGGATATCTCCACTTTATGTTGTCCAACAAACTTTTTGTTTTAACCTTTTACTCCAAAACAATGTACTTTTAATGATGATGCTCTGTTAGCTGTTCTCACTCCATTCTGGTACCATTCCCACCCCATGAACAGAGTGATACTGGTGTGGCGATAGGGTCCGAGGAACTCCATGTGGGTAAAGGAAGTCAGAGGACTGGATGGAAGATGCCTGTTGTAACCCAGACTGAGGTGCACACTGCCTTACAATAGCTTGGTGAGAGGGCTGATGTTGGAACATGGAGTGGGTATCTGCAGCCTGTGTGCTTGCATGGTTGCTCAATCTGGGCATGAGTGAACTGGAGGTAAAATGAGCAGAGAAGTGCTGGTAGGGCAATCGCTCCATAGGTTGCATTCCACCTCCCACTGTGCAGCTGCTATAAGATGGCACACTTGACCAGGTATTACATGAAATGTCTTCTATGCCCGTGACAGGCTCTGTGGCAGGTGCTGAATTAGCATACATGCAGGCCTGACGTTGGGCAGACTCTGTGCGAAATGAGGTTGAGGATGAAGAGGAGGAGGATGGTTGTGGATACCCAGACCTGTAGTATGGATCTTCATCACTTGGAGATGTGTCCATGTAGGGCTTCTTATAAGGATGTTCAGATGATTCTTCGCTTGCTGAAAAGAAAAAAAAAAATCTTACTATCATTACACTGTACCAAATTTACTTTCTTCTGTAATTTAAAGGAAAATTAAATTTATAGTAAACTTGTCTTTTAATAATCCCCCTCCTCCATCCTTAGCGCAGAGTGATATGTTAAATACTTACCTTCCTTCCTGTTGCAGCAATTTTCACTGTACAGCTCTGCCCGGTGGTGCACAGCCTTTTTCCCAAAAATTTATTCACCGGTTTCTTGGTGCACACACGCATTGTGGCCCCTTTCATGGTGAGCCATATTTCAGGTGTCCTGAATTTAACAAGACACTCTTTGCTCAGTGTCATTTCACATACATAGTACATAGTTAGTCTGGCTGAAAAAAGACAAAAGTCCATCCAGTTCAACCATTAAAAAAAAAAAAGTTATAATCCTATACCCACAGTTGATCCAGAGGAAGGCAAAAAAACATCAAGGCATGATCCAATTTGCTCCTGCAGAGGAAAAAATTCCTTCCTGATCCCCCAAGAGGCAATCGGATATTTCCTGGATCAACGTTACCTATAAATGTTATTATCCAGTTATATTCTGTGTATCTAAGAAGGAATCCAGGCCTTTTTTAAAGGAATCCACTGAGCTGGCCAGAACCAACTATTGAGGGAGTCTATTCCACATTTACAGCTCTCACTGTAAAGAAACCTTTCCGTGTTTGGAGATTAAATTTCTTTTCCTCCAGACGGAAAGAGTGCCCCCTTGTCCTCTGTGATGACCTCAGGGTGAATAGCTCTACACCGAGTTCACTATATGAACCACTGATGTATTTATACATGTTGATCATATCCCCCCTTAATCTCCTCTTCTCAAGAGAGAATAAATTCAGTTCCTCTAATCTTTCCTCATTGCTGAGCTCCTCAGGACTTGTCCTTTAAACTGTATCTTCATTCTGTGCTTAGGTGTCACCTCCAGAGCAACTTTTTTGCTTCTCTGTTATGCAACATTTTGTTTTGAATAAACTGATGTGTGTGGGATTACCCAATAATAGGTTATATAAGGTGATAAAGTGATTTACATGGAAGTATAAATATGATGTTTTTGGACTGCACACCTTATCTATAACTAAGGGAATACTATTATTTGTATAACAGGCTTGTTTAATATTTGAAAAATGTGAGTGCAATATGGGAGTATATTAACGTTGGCTTTTATACACCTTGGATAAGGCACCAGATTTCCATTTCTTTTTTCTGTATGGATCATATGAGGATACATTGAGCATTGGAGTGAGGAGAGGTTCTAGGAAGGAGTGATCCTGACACCTACACAGGCTTAGAAGAGAAGCCCTATGATTCTGCTTATATAATTACAAGCAGCTTGAAAGGAGAGTATATTACCATCACAATTTTTCCTGCTGAACTTTATATCATTACTTTTGCACTATTTGCACACTGGACTTTATGAATTTATTTATTTTTAATTAGTTATTTATATTGCAATATTATTATATTGTATTTATTTAAATAATATTTTTTATTTTTTTTATTTATTTGACACTTTGTATTTATGATGATATATTGTGGGAATACATTTTGATTAATTTTTTGGTGATGCAGTTGACACTGTCACACCACACATTAATTAAGAGTTATACTTTTTCATTCACTTTTTAATGGCACGGCAGTATTAGAGTGCGGTAATTATTCAATTTATTTTTCAAGGGAGGACTATAGCCATGCCAGACTTTTCAGTTGTGTTTCAGGTGTTGCAGGAACAAGTAGTCAATTTTTTTCTCTCATTTTCTTAATTGTTTTTAGCTATTTAGGTTTACTATTGATACAGTAGAGTTCATGTTCTCTTCTCTTACAAGTTTTATCTTTTTCAGTTGTCATATGTTATTTGCTTGGATATTTTTTTGATATTTTTTTCCACAGTTCTTCAGTTTCTAAACGCAATTCATGATGTGATTTTAGAATGAAATGAGAGTGAAGGATGGTAAAGGGATGGGGAGGGAACAAAAGTGACATGCTAACTTCAAAACTTCAGTAAATGTAAAAACTAGTACAGTGGCCCTGATCTCTGGGTACTCTTGTTGCTTGGGGGGGGGGGGTCACCTATGTGAAGGTACACCACTGTGCTTACATAATCCTGCCACAGGTTGTTAAGTAAATTTATGGTTCCCAACTCCAGTTAAAACTTTTTTTTTTTTACATAAAGTAACCTTTTTTAACTGCTGCTTTGCCCAGTTCAGTTAATGCACCGAAGTGACATATACAGTATGTATATAAGGTTGCATATCCTTTTTCCATACAGAGAAACCAGAAATAGCACTTGAAATCTACTCAGCAAAATGTATGAATTTTAATTGTGTTCATTATTTTATGTATATAGCTTTTATGTATTTTATCCCACAAAAATATTATCATAAAAAATATTCAATACATTTACAAAACACACAATCATTATATTTTTGCATTAAATTCACATATAAAAATGTACAACCAATATATATTAGTATGAAATAGACAAATTAAAAGCATTTTTGTCATGAATCATAATTTGATCTTCATTTTCAATGGCTGCATTTCCTATTTTTCTCAATAAATACCTTGTGGAAAATTACACTTATCATCAACCAGCAGCCAGTGATATTTTTAAGGAGTCTAGCCCTTGCAAAGTGACACTGGGTTTCATACAGATTTTGAAAATGTACTGATAGCACCACAGTAATATGGCAGGAGGCAGGTGGAACCATAGGGGGAAGCATGCATTTGAAGTATAATGGATTCAGGAGATTCTTCAGCCACTATAGCTCTTCAAGAGAGCAAAGACAGGATTCACTGCCCCCTGGACAGGTAAGTAATTTTGATCTATGTTTTTGGGGTAACTTGTTTTTAAAACATTTCTGATGATGACAGAGTGGATTAAAGAGACATTCTCATCTTGTCTATGCAGGGCACACAAACAGTGTCTTTCCATAGGAGTCCTGCTTTGTTCACCTTGCCTGCTCTTCCTCAGTGACATAATTCCTTCAGGCATGTGACACCAGGTTGTGTCACCATCTCTGATAGAAAGAGTGTCTAGGCAGTGCAGGTGAGTATAAGGAGTCTTTGTGGAGACGTCACTTTGCCATGCAAGGTCGAGGTGACAGTACCCCTTTAACGTGACTTTTAAGTTTTACAAGTTTGATCTTTTTTATTTTTCTTATTGCACTAAATAGGAAGGGAATGTACAAGAAGATGCTCAGAGGTGTTTTTTTTTCCAATAGTCGCCTGACATACTTGCATTGTTAGAAGGATCAGTAAACTATGACTACTGTGCAACTCTGCAAATCAGAAAGCAGAGCCTGAATAGATAGTGGGCAAACATAGTTCTCCCCAGGTACATATAATTGCAAATTAAACAAAGGAACCTGGTTTTTAAAACATTATAGAACCCATACCATTTTTCTAGCTATAACTACAGTGGGGAACAGGAGAGGACTGACCATTTGGAAACTCGGGCACTGCCTGAGGGCCCGGGGTCAGTAGGGGGCCCCGTGAGATGCCCCTGGTACCTTTTTCATAGGCTTTTTTGAGTTTGGGCAAGGACACAGGGGCCCCATGATCCCCTATTACCCGGGGGGCCCCATGAGTTGTAAGTCTGCCCCTGGTGGGGAAGGACTGAGACTTCTATCATGTTTTTATTACTCTACCTATTGGGGACATTTTTCACTTTCTTTCCATAGGTATAACATAAGTTGAATGACAATCTCTCAAAGTGATCATAAAAGCGCACCCTTAACAGGTATATTTTTTGTCCCTGTTCTATTGATAATATAATGAGGGTGGCTCTCCTCAGTGGGGACACAGAAGGTATAATTTTTGGTATTTGTTCTCGCTCTATGGTTCTAGCAGTTGTACTCATATGAGAGTATTTTAAAAAAGTTTGGAGTTTATTCTCCTTAGCTTATAATTGGAGGCAGGCAGAGACAGAGCTTGCTTTCCACTGACTCACAATTATTGTAAAACACAGTCAACAAATTATTCTGGGTGACTTGTTTGGAACGTTAGCTTATATGCATATAGTCAAGTGGCTACCCCAGCTTCATAAATTCAGTAAACATTGTTATTACATCATATACTGTATGTGATTGAGCAGCTTTGCTTTGGGAAACCAAAAAAAAGTCTTTATTTGGACTATGTTTATAAGTACAGTAACCTATGTCCACCCTGTGTAGCTTTTTAGGTGCTTATACTAGTTGACCCTAGTTTTAAAGTGGTTTTCTGATTAATTATGATAATTCAAGGCACCTTGGTGTTTCTGTATTTTTACTTTCCTTTTTCATATTCAAAATGCAAGGTAGGTTTATTTACATTTCAGTGATCTTTTTCCGACCCAAAAAGAGAGAGAGCTCCTCAAATAAAGTTGCACATACCTTTTCTTTTTGTGCAGTGATATATAGGCCCAGGTTCATGAGGAAGAGATTGGTAGGAGTTGGAAGGAGGCATTAAGTCCTGTGAGGTGCTGCTAACACCATTCTCACACTGATATTGAGAACTGAGGTTGGAGGAGCTGGAAATATTCCGAGATTCAGAGGGAAATGGACTATGATTGGATGAAACCTTCTGTCGTACTGTACTTCTTGGGACCACTGGATATTCTTTGCTGAAATGAAAAATAAACTATATAGCCACATGCATATCAGTGTAGAACTAAAAAAAAAAAGAAAATATAATTTATTTATACCCAAAATGTATTTTTTTGTTTTTGATTAAATGGGGAAAGGTTGAAACCCCTGTCATGTTTTACTGCTGTCTGGGATCATTAGAGGGATTTCCCCTCATTTTCCGTTTTACCAGACAGACACCAGGAAAACAGACAGCAATAAAAAACTAACTGAGGTTCTAGCTTTCCCCTACTTAACTAAATTTGTTTTACTTCTGTCTGTGCTGTTGCTGTTAAAGAGATTTCTGCTCATTTTCTGTCCTGCGGACAACCTTTTTTACTAGGCAGGAAGCAAAGGAATTTCTCCATCGGAGCCTCCAACTGCAGGAAAACCTAACAGGAATTGCAATCCTCCATTCTATCCAAAACGGAAAAAAAAAAATATGTTTTGGGTCTAGATACACTTTTAAGTAGATATACAGTCAGGTCCATAAATATTGGGACATCGACACAATTCTAACATTTTTGGCTCTATACACCACCACCACAATGGATTTGAAATGAAACAAACAAGATGTGCTTTAATTTCAGACTGTCAGCTTTAATTTGAGGGTATTTACATCCAAATCAGGTGAACGGTGTAGGAATTACAACAGTTTGCATATGTACCTCCCACTTGTTAAGGGATCAAAAGTAATGGGACAGAATAATAATCATAAATCAAACTTTCACTTTTTAATACTTGGTTGCAAATCCTTTGCAGTCAATTACAGCCTGAAGTCTGGAACGCATAGACATCACCAGACGTTGGGTTTCATCCCTGGTGAGGCTCTGCCAGGCCTCTACTGCAACTGTCTTCAGTTCCTGCTTGTTCTTGGGGCATTTTCCCTTCAGTTTTGTCTTCAGCAAGTGAAATGCATGCTCAATCGGATTCAGGTCAGGTGATTGACTTGGCCATTGCATAATGTTCCACTTCTTTCCAGGATCATGAGCAGTTCCTTTCCTTCTCCATACTCTTCTCTTCCCATCACTCTGGTACAAGTTGATCTTGGTCTCATCTGTCCATAGGATGTTGTTCCAGAACTGTGAAGGCTTTTTTAGATGTCGTTTGGCAAACTCTAATCTGGCCTTCCTGTTTTTGAGGCTCACCAATGGTTTACATCTTGTGGTGAACCCTCTCTATTCAATCTGGTGAAGTCTTCTCTTGATTGTTGACTTTGACACACATACACCTACCTCCTGGAGGGTGTTCTTGATCTGGCCAACTGTTATGAAGGGTGTTTTCTTCACCAGGTAAAGAATTCTTTAGTCATCCACCACAGTTGTTTTCCGTGGTCTTCCGGGTCTTTTGGTGTTGCTGAGCTCACCGGTGCGTTCCTTCTTTTTAAGAATGTTCCAAACAGTTGTTTTGGCCACGCCTAATGTTTTTGCTATCTCTCTGATGGGTTTGTTTTGTTTTTTCAGCCTATTGATGGCTTGCTTCACTGATATTGACAGCTCTTTGGATCTCATCTTGAGAGTTGACAGCAACAGATTCCAAATGCAAATAGCACACTTGAAATGAACTCTGGACCTTTTATCTGCTCATTGTAATTGGGATAATGAGGGAATAAACACACACCTGGCCATGGAACAGCTAAGAAGCCAATTGTCCCATTACTTTTGGTCCCTTAACAAGTGGGAGGCACATATGCAAACTGTTGTAATTCCTACACCGTTCAATTGATTTGGATGTAAATACCCTCAAATTAAAGCTGACAGTCTGCAGTTAAAGCACATCTTGTTCGTTTTATTTCAAATCCATTGTGGTGGTGTATAGAGCCAAAAATGTTAGAATTCTCTCGATGTCCCAATATTTATGGACCTGACTGTACTATAAATCTTAACTGATGATTAACATAAACAATAGCATTTTTTTGTGCTTCCTCTTTTTCTATCTCAGTGATGCTGACCTTCTTCAGCCTCTTTCAAGTACTTCCTGTCTTAGGCCCCATTCACACCTTGACATGTAATGCCAGATGTGTTTGTTGCACATTTATTCACATGAAAAATGTGTGTCTGCTTTGCCATAATTGGGGTGCCATTAATAATGAATATCACCACAAGTGCGAATTATGAGATTTTGCACGTGTTCACACGTTTGCACGTGTCTTAATAATGACAGTGCACCATGATGGCACCATGACGTTCTACAGAGTTTGTTTTTGTTGTCTGTAATCTGTAATGAAAGTTGTTACTTTTTGCAGATTTACTAAACATGTCATAGTTCTTACAGGGCAAAGTGACAGTGTCTCTTGGTAGAGCTCCCCCACAGCAAGGTATAATTACGCATCCATGCTCTCTTGCCACCTCCCTGCTGCAAGAGTCCACCCTGGTATTGCGATTGGCCACTCAAATGCAAGCAATGTCACATGGTAGAAGTCACTTAATCCCCCATTCCCAGGAGCCCCAATCTATTACAGCAATAGAGCACAAGGGGAAAGAAAGGTGGATCTAGTTTTATATTTAAATGGTGAGGTTTGGGAAAGGGGTGCCATCAAGCGGCATGTCACTGGTAAAGTGACAACATGATAACATGCACTGTTACAGTGGTTCTTGGCATTTATATCACAAGGCGAATACAGAGGAGTTGCATTGAGCACAAATTTTGTGAATGACAACTATACGTGGTTAATGTATGTGTCCTATAGTATGCAGTATATGATGCTCTTTCCTTCTCCATACTCTTCTCTTCCCATCACTCTGGTACAAGTTGATCTTGGTCTCATCTGTCCATAGGATGTTGTTCCAGAACTGTGAAGGCTTTTTTTTATGTCGTTTGGCAAACTCTAATCTGGCCTTCCTGTTTTTGAGGCTCACCAATGGTTTACATCTTGTGGTGAACCCTCTATATTCACTCTGGTGAAGTCTTCTCTTGATTGTTGACTTTGACACACATACACCTACCTTAAGCTTCTATGCCTTTTTGTTATTTTGCCTTAATTTATGTAAACTATAACACTGTCAGGAGTACTTACAAAAGTTACCAGTTTTTTACATAGTTTAAAAGCCCAGTTACACCTTCACATATCACCCATCACCTCTTCTTCCAACCTGGTAGAAGACTGATGCAGGACCTCATATTGGTGAGTCGGCAGAGAGTGCTGGAGATAAGGTAACTGTTGCAGCAAAAGCTACCTTTTGTGTTTTTAAAAAGTCTGAGCAATATATATAAGAAAAAACAACTAAAGTTGAATTTGGGCTTTAAATATCTATTGTCCAGTTTTGAAGGGAAGTACAAACTAGATTATATCAGTTTCTCCTAGCTTATATGGGTGTCTACTTACATTTAATGGTGTCCATTGGTACTATGATCACTGGATTATTAGCTTTAGGTTTGAAGTTGACTTTTGAGGGTAATGCATATGCATACCCTAAAAAGCCTGACCTTGTTTTATTGTGTAGTTATTAGCATGATAAAATCATTATAGTGAGGTTTTCAGGGCCTAAGTTATGTTTCAAATTTACATGTTAGTTAAAGGTCTGTTGAAGGTATGTTTAGAATTCAATACACCTTCAAATAAAAAAGTTACAGTTTAGAGGTAAGGCTAAGGTTATGTTTCGGGGTACATTAAAGTTTCATGTATGATATATTTTGTTTTTGTTTATACCTTAATTTTTTTGGAAATATGTTGTAACTTTTTACTTGAACCCAGGTTTCACAGACAACACAAAGCAGAGACTACCTTTGCATTCTGGACATTCGATGCAGCTCCATGTCATCGCTCCCCCTAAATCCTTTGGCAAATGGGTTGTTTTCAATCTTTAGCTGTGTAATCTGAAAACAGTATCGAAGTCACATTAGAACTGTGAAGTTTAATTTCCAGTGGCACAATAAACTCTTTAAAAGATTAATATTTATAATCAGTAATAATCAGTATACTGACCACAAATTACAATCACTGACAATACTACCTAAGCTGAACCGATTATCAAATCAAATTGGAGCCTTATCTCAAGCCAGCCACCCTTAGTACACTGCATGTAGGATGGTAATGCATCACACATTTTTTAACTAATCTATATTTGAAATTCTATTTTTTTCATTGTGACTATTCTTACTGGGGCTGAAAGTGAAGGAAAATATACAAATTTAATTTGCCTCCAGAACAGGAATAGCATGGAATAGTAGGGACATCTTCCAATTGGGAGCTATTTGCTCTCATTTTCTGTTGTGTCTTTAGGACAGAAAGTGAAAGGAACTCTCCAGAACAGGTTATAGATAGTACAAAGCCATTGTTTTGGTTTGGATAGTGTGGCAAGGGTTAGAACCTCATTTAGGTTGTTATTGCTTTCTGGGTGGCTGTTGCAGGAGATACAGCTCTGTATTTGCAATGATGGCATTAGAGATGAGCGAATTATTCAAAAATTCGATTCGGCTGATTTGCCGAATTTGCGGAATAAATTCGATTCGATGCGAATTTATTCGCTGCGAATTTAACTTATTAAAAGGGTTTCTAGGCTTCAGAGAGCCTTTATATTAGTGCAGAACACTGTACCTTTAATTTAAATGCCCTTGGAGTCTGCTGGGGAAGAGAAATAATACTGTCAGTCAGTATGACATGCAGATGAGTGCCGTCGATCTTAGAATCACCGCACACTTCACTCATTTGGGCAGTCACGGGGCACGACGAAGAAGATGAAGAAGAAGATGAAGAAGAAGATGAAGATGAAGAAGAAGAAGAAGAAGAAGAAGAAGAAGATGAAGAAGATGAAGAAGAAGAAGAAGATGAAGAAGAAGAAGAAGATGAAGAAGAAGAAGATGATGAAGAAGATGATGATGATGAAGAAGATGATGAAGAAGAAGAAGATGATGATGAAGAAGATGATGAAGAAGAAGATGATGAAGAAGAAGATGATGAAGAAGAAGAAGATGAAGAAGAAGAAGATGAAGAAGAGGAAGAGGAAGAAGAAGAAGAAGATGAGGAAGAAGAAGAAGAAGAAGAAGATGAGGATGAGGAAGAAGAAGAAGAGGATGAGGATGAAGAAGAAGAAGAAGAAGATGAGGATGAAGAAGAAGAAGAAGAAGAAGAAGATGAGGATGAAGAAGAAGAAGAAAAATAAAATAAGAAGAAGAAGAAGAAGGAGAAGAAGAAGAAGAAAAATAAGAAGAAGAAGAAGAAGAAGAAGAAGAAGAAGAAGGAAAATAAGAAGAAGAAGAAGGAAAATAAGAAGAAGTAAAAAATAAGAAGAAGAAGAAGGAAAATAAGAAGAAGAAAAAAGAAGAAGAAGAAAGAAGAAATAAGAAGAAGAAGAAGAAGAAGAAGAAAAAAAAGAAGAAGAAGAAGAAAATAAGAAGAAAATAAGAAGAAGAAGGAAAATAAGAAGAAGAAGAAGAAGAAGAAAAAGGAAGAAGAAGAAGAAGAAGAAGAAGAAGAAGAAGAAGGAAAATAAGAAGAAGAAGAAGAAGAAGAAGAAAATAAGAAGAAGAAGTAGGAAAATAAGAAGAAGAAGAAGAAGAAGAAGGAAAATAAGAAGAAGAAGAAGAAGAAGAAGGAAAATAAGAAGAAGAAGAAGAAGGAAAATAAGAAGAAGAAGAAAGAAGAAGAAGAAGAAAATAAGAAGAAGAAGAAGAAAGAAGAAGAAAATAAGAAGAATGAAGAAGAAGAAGAAGAAGAGAAGAAGAAGAATGAAAATAAGAAGAAGAAGAATGAAAAAGAAGAAGGAGAAGAAGAAGGAGAAGAAGAAGGAGAAGAAGAAGGAGAAGAAGAAGGAAAAGAAGAAGGAGAAGAAGAAGAAGGAGAAGAAGAATGAAAAAGAAGAAGGAGAAGAAGAAGGAGAAGAAGAATGAAAAGAAGAGGGAGAAGAAGAATGAAAAGAAGAAGGAGAAGAAGAAGGAGAAGAAGAATGAAAATAAGAAGAAGAAGAATGAAAATAAAGAAGAAGAAGAAGAAGAAGAATGAAAATAAGAAGAAGAAGAAGAATGAAAAGAAGAAGGAGAAGAAGAATGAAAAGAAGGAGAAGAAGAAGGAGAAGAAGAAGAAGGAGAAGAAGAAGGAGAAGAAGAATGAAAAGAAGAAGGAGAAGAAGAATGAAAAGAAGAATAAAAATAATAAGAAGAAGAAGAAGAATGAAAAGAAGAAGAAGAAGAAGAAAGAAGAATGAATGAAAATAAGAAGAATTCCAGTACAGCAAAAAGTGTATCTGCAGAGAGCTCCGCTATTTCTGACAGTTCTCTGACAGTTCCTTCACATTTACAGCGGTTGAAACATTGTATCTATTTGTTTCCGAATAAAAAAACATCTGTATCCTAAATGGAAACAAATAGATACAATGTTTCAACCGCTGTAAATGTGAAGGAACTGTCAGAGAACTGTCAGAAATAGCGGAGCTCTCTGCAGGGACACTTTTTGCCGGCTGTAGAAGGGATGAAAATCGGCCGATCGGGAAAAATTCGATTCGTGCATCCGAAGTTTGCTAATTTTCGGATTCGATGCAAATCGAATTTTTCCTAATATTCGAAACGAATTCCACTTCGCCAAGTTCGATTCGCTCATCTCTAGATGGCATGTTCACAGGAACTGAAAGTGAAGGAAACATTCTGAGTTGTCATTGGAACAGAAATAGAAAGGACATCATCCAAAGGGGACGTTTATCCCAATGACAATTTTTTAAAGAACCCCATACATTATGCAATTTTCTTTCCTTCCACCACAGGTGGAAGAGATCTCTGGGCAGATCTCCACTTGTTGTTGTGCTTCAAGACAAAAAGTGATTTAAAATCTCCCCAATAAGACAGCAAATAAAATAACAAACTTGACAGGAACTCTCTTACTACAGTGCTCAAAAAAATTAAAGGAACACTTTAATCAGAGTATAGCATCAAGTCAATTAAACTCCTGGGATATTGATCTGGTCAGTTAAGTAGCAAAGGGGCTTGTTAATCCAGCCAGCTGTGTTGGGTGTTAATGAAATTAATAATAGGTGCACTAGATGGGCAACAATGAGATGACCCCCAAAACAGGAATGGTTTTACAGGTGGGGGCACATCAATACGTGCTATTGCCAGAAGGTTTGCTGTGTCTCTCCAGTACAGTCTTAAGAGCATGGCAGAGATTCCAGGAGACAGGCAGTTACTCTAGAAGAGCTGGACAGGGCCCTAGAAGTTCCTTAACCCATCAGCAGGACCGATATCTGCTCTTTTGTGCAAGGAGGAACAGGATGAGCCCTGAAAAATGACCTCCAGTAGGCTACTGGCGTGAATGTCTCTGACCAAACAATCAGAAACAGACTTCATGAGGGTGGTCTGAGGGCCCGAAGTCCTCTAGTGGGCCCTGTGCTCACTACCCGGCACCATAGAGCTCGATTGGCATTTGCCATTGAACACCAGAATTGGCAGGTCCGCCACTGGCGCCCTGTGCTTTTCACAGATGAGAGCAGGTTCACCCTGAGCACATGTGAAAGACGTGAAAGGGTCTGGAGAAGCCGTGAAGAACGTTATGCTGCATGACTGTTTTGGTGGTGGGTTAGTGATGGTCTGGGGAGGCATATCCATGGAGGGATGCACAGCCCTCTGCAGGCTAGACAATGGCACCCTGACTGCCATCAGGTATCGGGATGAAACCCTCAGACCCATTTGTCAGACCCTACGTTGGTGCATGGGGATCTGGGTTCCTCCTGATGCACAACAATGCCAGGCCTCATGTGGCGAGAGTATGCAGGCAGGTCCTGGAGGATGAAGGAATTGATACCATTGAATGGCCCCCACACTCACCTGACCTAAATGCAATGGAACCCCTCTGGGATATTATGTTTCGGTCCATCCGATGCTGCCAGGTTGCACCTCACACTGTCCAGGAGATCAGTGATGCCCTGGTCCAGATCAGAGAGGAAATACCCCAGGACACCATCTGTCATCTCATTAGGAGCATGCCCCGAGATTGTCAGGCATGCATACAAGCACGTGGGGGCCATACAAACTACTGAGTATCATTTTGAGTTGCTGCAATGAAATTTCAGCAAAATGGACTATCCTGCTGCATAATTTTTTCACCTTGATTTTCGGGGTGTCTTTGAATTCAGTCCTCTGTAGGTTGATAATTTTCATTTCCATCAAACGATGGGGCATCCTTATGTTCCTAACACATTACCCAGTCCATATCAGTATAGATATCCAGCATGAGATTTTTCCCCATTGAGATCTGATGTGTTCTCAAAGTGTTCCTTTAATTTTTTTGAGCAGTGTATATCCAAAACTGAAAAATTTACTTAAGATACACTGTACTTTATTCATACTGCGTTCAAAATGCACAATTATGCTAACCGGAAGATCTAAGAACAGTATTTTTTTTACCCCAACTATACGTCTTTTTTTTACTATTATAGACTGGATAAGCTTCAGGACCATTCCTGACTGAGCATTTAAACACACGTTTTAACACACTCAGTATATTGTACATAGGTTAGTAGCCATTGTTTTATATGGTGCTAGTTCACATCTGTGCAATGCCATTGAAACACATTTCTTTTTGATGCATTGATGCATGGTATAGGGTATGTTAAGGTGTGAATCCACCCTTACGCTACTGATAACTGACCAATGTATTGAAAGAAGCTGGCTGCTGCAACCAACTTATAATTGCACAGATATTGAATGAGTACAAATTCCAGTGGTACAACCAGTTTTTGCAACAATTGAACAGCATTTGTTTGTGTTCTTTGTGAAGTCAGCATAATATCTAGAACTGTCAAATTTGGCCATAAAAGTGTAGGGTCAAACCTGTTAAATATGCATTTATGTGGGCCTGGGCAAAGTCAAGCAGGAACTACATTTACAAT